CAGGCTGAGATGAGGAAGGAGGAGGCATTTCCTTAGGCTTCTTTACCCCAGGCTGAGACAATGTCATTGTTCTTCTGCAGGCAGTAGATAGCATGTCCTCAGTCTCCTCTCCTGCAGGCTGAGATGAGGCAGCAGGAAGCATTTCCATGGACTTCTTTCACCCAGGCAGATAGGATGTCAGCAGTCTGCTGTCTGCTGTCTGCTGCAGGCAGGAGGAAGCATTTCCTCAGGCTTCTTCCCACAGGCTAAGATGATGGCATCAGTCTGCTGCAGGCAGGAGGCAGCATTTACTCAGTCTCCTCTCCCCCAGGCTGAGATGAGGCAGAAGGAAGCATTTCCTCAGGTTTCTTTCCCCCAGGCTGAGTTGATGTCATTAGTCTACTGCAGGCAGGAGGAAGCATTTCCTTAGTCTCCTCTTCTCCAAGTGACCAGAATGCAACATTGTCATTTTGTAGCAAGCTAAGAGGATGCAGTAGGAATTTATTCTTTTAGACGTGTAAAATCACTAAAGGTAAATTGTAGGTTGTTTTTAGCTCTCCTGCAAACCACTGCCAAAAATGCAACGTGTTTATATACATATATATTTTTACTGACGTAAATCCATATTTTTCTGTTCAATGTGCCTATACACACAGGTGCACAGAAATGCGTTGTGTATAAAAGGCATACAAATCTGAGTTGCCGGTTAGTCATTTACGCATGTACACGTGCAGATACTTGCAAATAGATGCATACAATTGAACTGCATTCTTGAAGCTAGAATTTATTTAACGCTTGTATGAGCAGATAGACGCAAAATAAATGCAAGAAATTCCTGCCAGGAATACTGATGTTCAAACATCTGCACTATGTGCAAGTACCCTGATAAGTCGGTGATGCAGTGCAGTCAGTGTATGGAACAGACCAACGACCCCCTATCAGGGGCGAACTGACAATTCATGGCGCCCCGGGCAATAGGGGACCATGGGGCCCCTGTGTCCTTGCCCAAACTCAAAATACACCCAAAAAAGCATATGAAAGGTACCAGGGGCATTTCATGGGGCCCCCTACTGACCCTGGGCCCTCGGGCAGTGCCCGAGTTCTCGAATGGTCAGTCCGCCCCTTCCCCCTATCAGAGCAGAGTCTAGGGTGTGGTGGTCAAATGCCAACCAAAAGGATTCTGAAGACTTGGCCAGGGATCTCTGGTACAGCTCAGAGATTCTTTTTCAAAGAAAAGATTAGAGGTGGGAGAGACCTTATAGTGTAGTACAGGAGTCTCCAAAAAGGGGCCAGTTTACTGTCCTTCAGACTTTGGGGGGGCAGTCTTTCAGTGTGAGAAAATGACCAGGCATCGATTGGAGAAAACACTGCCTCATCACTGGTATTAGTGGAAGGAATAGTTCCCCATCATTGGTGTCAGTGGGAGGAATAGTGCCCCATTGTTGGTACCAGGGGAAGGAATAGTGCCCCATCATTTGTGTTACTGGGAGGAATAGTGCCCCATTGTTGGTACCAGGGGATGGAATAGTGCTCCATCATTGGTGTCACTGGGAGAAACAGTGCCCCATTATTGGTATCAGGGGAAGGAATAGTGCCCCATCATTGGTGTCACTGGGAGGAATAGTGCCCCATCATTTGTGTTACTGGGAGGAATAGTGCCCCATTGTTGGTACCAGGGGAAGGAATAGTGCTCCATCATTGGTGTCACTGGGAGGAACAGTGCCCCATTATTGGTATCAGGGGAAGGAATAGTGCCCCATCATTGCTGTCATTGGCAGTAATGGTTTACCATTGTTGACATCTGTGTGAGGAATAGTGCCCCATCATTAGTGTTAGTACAAGATATAGTTCCCCATCATTGGTGTCAGTGGGAGGAATAGTGCCCCATCATTAGTGTTAGTATGAGATATAGTTCTCCATCATTGGTGTCAGTGGCAGGAATATTGCCCCATCATTGGTGTCAGTGGCAGTAATGGTTTACCATTGTTGGTGTCCATGGGAGGAATAGTGCCCCATCATTAGTGTTAGTACGAGATATTGTTCCCCATCATTGGTGTCAGTGGGAGGAATAGTGCCCCATCATTGGTGTCAGTGGGAGGAATAGTGCCCCATCCTTAGTGTTAGCACGAGATATTGTTCCCCATTATTGGTGTCAGTGGCAGGAATATTACCCCATCATTGGTGTCAGTAGCAGTAATGGTTTACCATTGTTGGTGTCCATGGGAGGAATAGTGTCCCATCATTAGTGTTAGTACGAGATATAGTTCCCCATCATTGGTGTCAGTGGGAGGAATAGTGCCCCATCATTGGTGTCAGTGGCAGTAATTGTTTACCATTGTTGGTGTCCATGGGAGGAATAGTGCCCCATCATTAGTGTTAGTACGAGATATTGTTCCCCATCATTGGTGTCAGTGGGAGGAATAGTGCCCCATCATTGGTGTCAGTGGCAGGAATAGTGCCCCATCATTAGTGTTAGCACGAGATATATTTCCCCATCATTGGTGTCAGTGGGAGGAATAGTGCCCCATCATTGGTGTCAGTGGCAGGAATATTACCCCATCATTGGTGTCAGTGGCAGTAATGGTTTACCATTGTTTGTGTCCATGGGAGGAATGGTGCCCCATCATTTGTGTTAGCACAAGATATTGTTCCCCATCATTGGTGTCAGTGGGAGGAATAGTGCCCCATCATTTGTGTCAGTGGCAGGAATATTACCCCATCATTGGTGTCAGTAGCAGTTATGGTTTACCATTGTTGGTGTCCATGGGAGGAATGGTGCGCCATCATTAGTGTTAGCACGAGATATTGTTCCCCACCATTGGTGTCAGTGGGAGGAATAGTGCTCCAAGGTCCAGATATAGGAAGGCAAAGGGCTGCATCTAGCCCCCGGGCTGCAGTTTGAAGACCACTGGTGTAGTAAATTGATTCAGAAACAGAGGAAAAGGCTTCAAAAAGGGATACAAACCATACCGATTAAATCCACAGTAAGAGGAAAAAAGATCAAATTAGCCTTACACCTGAGACTGTGGTCACCCAGCGCGGAGAGGAACACGTAGCTTTCCAAGTTCATGGGTGGAGAAACCCTTTCTCCATGCAGGGTCACTTTGGTCACTCTCTGTGTCTCAGGGGTTCCCATCCTGGGTACTCTGTGGGGTCCTCAGGCAGGCAAACGAATCAATAAGCAGAATCAGCCCAAAAAGCTTGTTTGTAATCCGACCGACAGAAGCAGCCAAAGTGGTTTTTCTAAGGATGGGCATTAGTTGTATGCTTCAAAAACATCCAGTTTCTTTTTTTCACCCTTCACAGCAGACAGTTTTAACTTGTACACACAATTTCCAATCATTTCAACCGTGCTTTAGGCTGGTTCTAACCTAAATGGATGATATCAGACATGTTGTGCAAATTTTATACACAGTTTGCATCTAAACCAGCCTTTCCCAAACTTTTTTTTACCATAGAGGAACCCTTGAAATAATTTTCAGGTCTTGGGGAACCCCTGCAAAAAATGAATTCATCTGGGATCAATGGAAAGAATGTTCCTTACATTGGTGGCCAGTCGAAAGAATCAAATCCTTACAACAGTCAGAACACCAAAGTCAGCTAAATGTTCATTGGTGTCATACTAATGGTTCTGCCATTTGGCGTTAGACCTGGAACTATGGAAGGCACCGTCATATAGGAGGTCAACCTGCCACAGCTCAAGGAACCCCTAACCACCTCTTGAGGAACCCTAGGAGTCTGTGGAACCCTGGTTGAGAATCCCTGAGCTCAACATACAAAATGGTACAAAATGGTACAAAATGTGAAATTCAGAAAAACATATAGCTCAGGAACTTTCCATACTCTAACAGTCAGCCACATACTGTACACAAAATAGGAGCTGTGGGTGGCTACTCATGTTCCTCAGCATGTCCTAGATGGAGGGAAATATACCATATGACTCCTGTTGGCTCTACAAAGAGGGCAGGCATAAACAATAAATTACTGAGAGAAGCAGGTTTAGCAGATTTGTATATTAAAAGCCCTGCCAAGTTTATATAGTGAAATAAAAAGTGGTAGTAAGTAAAGTTGAGAGACCTAAACATCTCTGGAATTATTAATGATTGAACTGTTCATATTGCAGAGAGTGTGTCTCCCCTTTTATGTTAGATAAAGGAATTTCTACCCAGGGGTGTATTTATCACAAGGAAGACAAGGCAGTTGCCTAAGGAAGCATTTTTCAGGGGGGGGGGGGCAGCACTGCTCCTCAAAAGAAGCGACGGAAGAAGGGACACACATGGCATGAGAACCTGGTGGGTTCCGAGAGAGGTTGCGGGGTTACATGACAGTGTATGCACAGCCCGAATCTCGTTCCTGGGGATGTCTGGAGCTGTGAAGGTGAGGGTCTTTTTCTCTCTCGCCATGGGGGATGGGGGCTGGTGTATGGCGGGCAGTGGTAGCGAAAGGCTCACTCGGGTGGGAGCCAAGGGTGTTGTTGGTCAATGTCAGGCTCTCTCTGAGGGGGGCACCGATTTGTGTGTTGCCTAGGGCAGCACAAAACCTAAATACACCACTGTTCTACCCCTGTATACGTGTTTGAGAAAGTGATCGGGATCCACCAAAGATTCCAAAAAGCTCTTTAGAAACAAAGTTTAACAAATGCCATGTCTACCCATATGGTGCCTACCTCTGATCTAGAAAAACTTTCATTTCTACTCTACTAGTTCACATTGGAGTTTACTAGATGACAGTATTGGCAAAGACATTTAGACTGCTACAGCAAGCCATATGCATCTGAACATGCAATAATTGACTGATTTTTTTTTTTTTCTTACAGAAAGTTCTCTGAGGAATATTAGTTGAGGTGCCTTAAAGTTTTCCAGCTAACCTCCAGCAGAAGCAACCATCTACCTTCATACAAAAGAATGTCTTTTCATGAAGAACCTCAAGGAAGATTATCCATGACTACAGAAATGCCCTTGAAGACCAATGCAACTACCCCCTTAAACACAACTTTGGATCTCCCGCCATCTTCAGGTGCAATGGAGGACATGATAGCCACATTCACAATCGGGGTAATCTTATCCCTCATGTGTATAGTAGGAGTTGCAGGAAATGTGTACACTTTGGTGGTTATGTGTCAATCCATGCGCACGGCAGCTTCCATGTACATCTACATCATCAACTTGGCCTTGGCCGATCTCCTTTACCTACTCACCATCCCTTTTATTGTGGGAACTTATTTCATCCAGGAATGGTATTTTGGGGATGTTGGTTGCCGCATCCTTTTCAGCTTGGACTTCCTGACCATGCACGCCAGTATTTTCACCCTCACCATAATGAGCACTGAACGCTATTTTGCAGTTCTGAAGCCCTTGGACACGGTCAAGAGATCTAAGAGCTATCGAAAGTGCATTGCTATAGTTGTCTGGCTGGTATCACTACTCCTAACTTTGCCCATGTTAATCATGATTAAGCTGGTGCACAAAGACAACAAGAGCATTTGCCTGCCCATGTGGAGTAAGGTGTCCTACAGGGTCTATTTAACAGTGCTTTTCTGTACAAGTATAGTAGGTCCTGGGCTAATCATAGGCTACTTGTACATTAGACTGGCTAGGACATACTGGGTGTCACAAACTGCCTCCTTCAAGCAGACCAAGAGGTTGCCTAACCAGAAGGTTCTGTATCTAATTTTCACGATTGTCCTGGTCTTCTGGGCCTGCTTTCTCCCTTTCTGGATTTGGCAGCTTCTTGTCCAGTACTACGAATCTCTTCCTCTAACCCCCAAAGCCAACAGGAACATCAATTATATAACCACATGCCTAACTTACAGTAACAGCTGCATCAACCCATTCTTGTACACCCTCCTCACCAAGAACTACAAGGAATACCTGAGGAACAGGCAAAGGTCATGGAGCAACAGTGGTTACTTCAGGAACCGTTTTCAAAGGATCTCAGGAAGATCCATGTCCACCAGTAGCCAGCAGTGCACTGAGAGCTTTGTCTTGGCTCAGTGTCCTGGGGGCAACAACAGCTCTTAAGAACTTTAATATAAGATTTCACAGGGACCAGTAAGAACCTCGATGTGCCAAACGGCTTCGAAATATCCCAATACGTGTATATTGTAAATGTTTTATCAGATATAGATTTAATTATGTAAATGAATGATGCTTGCAGAAAGGATGTTCAAGTGTCCTTGTGTATGTGATGCCAAGAAAAGACCATAGCTATGAGACAATGAAGATGCAGTTACTTATTTGAATTGTATAAAAAAAAATATATGAGATTTTCATTTGTGATATAGCACTGTGTTGTCTGACTTTTCTAAAAATTGCAGATGTCAACATGGCTACATTCTCACAACCTGCTTCCTTTCCCTTGCTGTTTTAAGGTTTTCCTTACCTTCTTCCTTGTGTTTGTTCTCCATGATCTCCTAAAATATAAATGTTTTTGTTTAATGTGGTGCTGCTGAAAAATAGTTACCACCATTGGTTAATGTTTACTATATTTCTACCAAGAAAAGGACTTGGTTCGGGGGTTCCAGACTCTAAAGGACTCTTGGGTTTCTATTAGACCTCAACGGCTTGCTCCTAACTTTTTTCAGAAAGGGATGTTGTCATAGGTGAGTGGAACGTTCAGAATTAAGACTTGGTTGAGTATTTATTGGAATATTTGATGGAGTTCCAGTACACGTAGCACAAGCCTGACGTGGTGTGGCAAACAGCAATTAACTGACAAAACACGGAGGTCCAAACTTTATCTCGTGCCTTCAAGGGAGCTTCAAGCCAAGTGTCACAAACTCATGGAGACATATTGGACCTGCAAGTTGACCTTGTATGCTAAACCATGCACAGTGTTGTATATGAGTCTTGTAGCGGTTGTGCATGGTCCAGAGTATTGGATGCATCAGACGAATTCATCTAATTGTTCTCCCGTTCTACAAATGGATTTGTCCAATTGTAACCCACTCTACTGGAAATCCATTCACAGGGCGTTTGTTGAGCAGAACGCTGAACGTGGTTGTAGACTGGCAATGATTTTCAGGATGGACAAACCTTCCAAGTCTTTAACAAGATCTGGATATCTATGGACCTTTCTGTTTTCCCCATTTAAACAGGAACGAAACTTCCATTCCATACAAAAAACAATTGCTAAAAGGAGGAGGAAACAAATTGCAACAGATTGGGTTTCAAAAATGATAAAGGCAGATCTCTTTTGAAAATATGGTTCTACACCCATGACTGTCCTTTAGTCAAATCAAGAAGACCTCCTTTTATCTTCCGTAGCCAGGAAAGACTCTTCTGTGGGCCCTGCTGATTGTAATTTAACTTTGTTACTAAAGGTTCATTTCTCAGGTTTTGGAAAGAATGATGATGGGCAGGTGCTTCTCAGATCCAGGATGCTTCTCAGATCCAGGGCGCATCTCAGATCCAGGGTGCATCTCAGATCCAGGGCGCATCTCAGATCCAGGGCGCATCTCAGATCCAGGGTACATCTCAGATCCAGGGCGCATCTCAGATCCAGGGTGCAGGGCTTATGACCAAATTCAGGAAGACGGAAGTCATTGTAATTGTGTGATATTAAAATTAGAGGGATGCACACATGGGACTGATCCAAATATCAGCAGACATCTGGGGTTCAAAATTATAAAACGCCTGGCTCGTTCTCTATAAAGGAAACCTGTCATTCGCAAACCAATCACAATGTGGTGGAGCAGTGGTTCTCAACTACCGGGCCTGTGCTTTCCTCCTACCAGGCCTCCCAAAGCTGCAGATCCCCTATGCTCCCACAGAGCCTCCCAACTCCCATAGTGCCCCCCAACCTTTCCCAATGGACTGCAAAGTCCTCCCGTAGTCCCCATAGAGTCCCTCAAACTCACATAGTGAGTTCCAACCTCCCTCAGTGCCAGCCACCAGCCTACTGTAGAGCCTCCGGTCATCCATAGTGCCCCCCAACCTTTCACAATGGACTGCAAAGCCCTTTAAGCCCCCATAGAACCCCTCAAACTCACATAGTGAATTCCAACCTCCCGCAGTGCCAGCCCCCAGCCTACTGTAGAGCCTCCAGTCATCCATAGTGCCCCCCAACCAGGGGTCGACTGACCATTGGGGAACTTGGGCACTACCCGAGGGCCCGGGCTCAGTAGGGGGCCCCATGAGATGTCCCTGGTACGTTTCATAGGCTTTTTGGGGTGTGGTTTGAGTGTAGGTGAGGACACAGGGGCCCCAGGATCCCCTATTGCCCAGGGACCTCATGAGTTGTCAGTCCGCCCCTGCCCCCAACCTTTCACAATAGACTGCAAAGCCCCTTAAGCCCCCATAGAACCCCTCAAACTCACATAGTGAATTCCAAGCTCCCGCAGTGCCAGCTCCCAGCCTACTATAGAACCTCCAGTCATCCATAGTGCCCCCCAACCTTTCACAATGGACTGCAAAGCCCCTTAAGACCCCATAGAACCACTCAAACTCACATAGTGAATTCCAACCTCCCGCAGTGCAAGCACCCAGCCTACTGTAAAGCCTTCAGTCATCCATAGTGCCCCCAACTTCCAACAGTGCCTCCCAGCCCCTGCAACTTCCCTCCTACCAGGCCTCCAGAAAGCTGCAGATCCCCTATGCTCCCACAGAGCCTCCCAACTCTCATAGTGCCCCCCAACCTTTCACAATGGACTGCAAAGCCCTTTAGCCTCTAATAGAGCCCCTCAAACTCACATAGTGAATTCCAACCTCCCACAGTGCCAGCCCCCAGCCTACTGTAGAGCCTCCAGTCATCCATAGTGCCCCCAACTTCCAACAGTGCCCCCAGCCCCTGCAGCACCCTTCAGTCTCCCACAGCCCCCCTGAAAAGTCTCCAACCTCCTGCAGAGACCCCCAGCTTCCTCCAGAAACCCCATTCCCCACAGTTTTCCCAAGCCTTCTTCAGAAACCTCATCCCCTACAGGGCCACCAAGTCTACTGCAGAGTCACCTAACCCCCATAACTCCCCCCAACCTCCCTACATAGCCTTCAAGCATTTTAATACATATTTTGCAGAAAGAAAGGAAAAAAAGCACGTTTTAGACACTACCCCAGGGTACATTTAAAATTGACAATGTAACAAAAATCTAGAGAAGCTCCACTTACATACATTTACAATTACAGGGACTGCTGCAAGTCCAAGAGCTCCTTTTTTTTGGCGATAAGTGGAACTGGAAGTCCCATTTGAACGTTTATCAGCATTTATATAATTGAATAATGTAATGCCATTAATTGCTCATCACTTCCCTACAGTACTGCATGGTTTTTCCGTACGGGAATTAGATCCATCATTGCTATAAGTGTAAGTGTTAACCCTTCGGGGCCCAGCAGTTCCAAGCATGGCGATGTACCGCGTCCCCATTCTGTGTGCCAAGTTGTTAGATTTGCTGCTTACCCGCTCAGCTGTCATCAGAATATCCTACTGTGGAGCCAACTGCTCACCTGACCCGTCTCAGATCTCACTGCAAGTTCAAAAAAAAAGCACTTTATTCCTCACTAGAAACACTTTATCAGCTCACCAGGCTGCTCACCTCGCAGGATAACGAATCAACACTGTGGAATAAGTCAGCACTTTATAAACCTGAAAAAAAAAACAGATTACTATATAAAATATCATTTTAAACAGATTAAAAATCTAGTGGACTGTGTCTCTTTATCTGGTTATTGGTCCAGCATTTTCTGTGTGTTCTGGGTCAGGCAACGGCTGCATTTTTAAACACTCACTATTATCCAGATGGAAATTCATATCATCTATCAAAAGTATTAATTTCTCATTTATTTTATTTACTTTTTATTTATTTCATTTTGTACTGCTTTTCTGTTATATAATAATAATAATTATTATTATTATTATTATTAATATCAATAATAATAATAATATTTATTTATTTTATGGATCTGTTTATTTTACTATTCTATTTTATTATTATTTTATGGATTTCTTTGTTTTATTTAACATTAATTAATTATTTTTTTTATTGAATTTTTACTACTTTTCTTTTATATAATAATAATAAGAAATTATTATTATTATGATTAATATCAATAATAATAATAAGAATTATTATTAATATCAATAATCATAATAATAATATTTATTTATTTTATGGATTTATTTATTTTACTATTATTTTATTATTCTTTTTATGGATTATTTTTTTTTATTTTAATTTTAATTAATTATTTATTTTTTATTTAATTTTGTACTACTTTTTTGTTATATAACAACAATAATAATAATAATAATTCTTTTTAATATTAATAATATTTTTTTTTAATGGATCTATTCATTTTACTATTATTCTTTTATGGATTTCTTTGTTTTATTTAATTTAATTTTTTTTTATTTATTTAATTTTTTACTACTTTTCTGTTATATAATAATAATAAACAATAATTATTATTATTAATATCAATAATAATAATATTTATTTATTTTATGGATCTATTTATTTTACTATTATTCTATTTTAATATTCTTTTATGGATGTCTTTGTTTTATTTAATTTTAATTATTTATTTATTATTTATTTAATTTTTAACTACTTTTCTGTTATATAATAATAATAATAATAATAATAATTATAAGATCAATAATAAGAATAATAATATTTATTTTATGGATCTATTTATTTTACTATTATTCTATTTTTTTATTATTCTAATTTTATGGGTTTAATTCATGAATTCATTGACAGTATGTCATTTACTTTATTTATTTATTTAAAATGTTTTAAAAATGCCTTGGTAATATTCTTAAAGTAGATGTAAACCCTAGCTGAATGACATTTAATTTGCTAAAAGCATTGTGTGTCATAAACAACTGTTTATTTTAATAAAATACATGTTCTCATCCTCTTCAACAATGGCGGCACGGCATTTCTCAGGCCAGGTTTCCTGATGGTGACCTCTGTGTGTTGAAAAAGGCCACTTGTATTCTATATTGGTAGCCAGGGGTGGACTGACCATTCAAGTAGTCGGGCACTGCCCAAGGGCCAGGGGTCAGTAGGGGGCCCCATGAAATG